TCAACTTTTTTGTAGCTTTATATCATGTTATAATATCATTCTCTCATTAAAAAAAACATACTCGAAGTGTTGCTTTGACTCATACATGCATGTTTGAGAAATCCTTGAATCTCCTGTGGTAGACATGTGGAGCTGCCTAAACAGTTGTTGGTACAAAGCACCGCCCATWTGTGCATAGCTCCTCCCTGGAGCTCAGTCGGCAGCRGYGCTCCCGCCCCASACAGCACCCCTCCCCCGAAGCACTGTTTGAAAATGTGCTGAAGTGGGAGTGTCCGAAACGGTGGGAGGTTCTTAAAGAGACAGAGGCCGATTTCAAGTCATTTAGGTATAATTGAACTATGTGCCTGGAAAATACATATTAATTTACATAATTTATTCATTTAATTAAAAAAACATTCACATACAACAAAACAATACAAATCAAATGAAATGAAAGGTAGCAGAAGAAGAAAAAAATGAGTCTAAAATCGAATCTATCATCACTTTAAATGGTTTGGTACCTTTTTTATCTTTCTGAGCTCCTTACAGCTATATGTGCAGCACTTTGCTTGTCTTTTGGTGTGTAAAGTGCTGCATAAATACATTTTTGATTGATGGATTTGCGTTTCTTCCTCAGGATAAGAAGCTCATGAAGGCGCTGTTCGACGTGTTGGCTCACCCGCAGAACTTCTTCAACTACACGCCACAAGAGTCGAAAGAAATGTTTCCTAAATCCTTCATCCGCTTCCTGAGGTCCAAAGTTCTGAGATTCTTTCGCCCTTAAAAAAGCTCCGCGGATCTGGAATCGTCAAATCACACTGAAGTAAGATACTGGTGTCAGCATCAGTGGCCCTTTTAGGAACGTTTACTTGTTAGTCGAGTCCTCTCAGGCGGAGAGGGAAACGAGGGCGGCTGATGCAGGCGGACGTTTAACTGCAGCTTTAAAACGGACTCGTGGCGATGAGCTGAACATACTGACTTMTGTCTGCATCCTTAAAAGGAATCGGGACGTCTTCAGTTTGTTTGGAAAAGTCTTTCTAATGACTCCATGCCCTCTGTGTTGTTTTTACCCTTTAAAATCAGGATTAAAATCCAAACGTGCACATCTACATGTTGGAATGCCGCTRGCTCGTGCACATGCTGACTTCATGGAACTTTATGCTGATGATGGAAGATAAACAGCTGAACAGATATATGCTGAATGTCAATGATGCTATATATATA